TCATCCCTCCTGCTGACTTTTTAGTTCTTGGTGGGGACTGGAATACAGTCCCCAACCTGGATTTGGATTCCACTACCCCCCTATCACACCCATCAGAATCTGCCGCACTCAACGATTTCATCCTAGATAGCTCCCTCTTCGATCCCTTCCGCTCTCTACACCCAACTGCTTGCACTTACACCTGGTCTGCCTCCGCTCCCTCAGAATCCAAGATCCACACTCAAAGGAGATTGGATGCTATATTTGTGAATGATCCTGTCCTCCAATTGGTTAACAAAGCAAAGGTCATTACAGATCCCCTCTCGGACCACAAACCAGTAATAATAGAGCTCGAAATGGGCCTCCACATCACAAGAGGCAAAGACCTCTTCAGACTCAGTCTCTACGTCTTAGAGGACCCCGGTGTGGTGGAATGGGTTCGGGAGACATGGGAGGAATGGAGAACCAACACAATCCTTTTCGACAATGAACGGACTTGGTTGGACAAAGGTCTTACCCTTGTCTCCAACCAACTCAATCTGATATCAAGAGTAAAAGCCGTGAACAGAAAATTTGAAGAAATCAAGATCAAAAGGAAAATTGAAGCTCTCGAGAACAAAGCCACAGACAACTATTTTTCAGAAATAATCACGCAAACAAAAATAGCAAGACTCTTGCAGGAATGGAGGAACATGCAAATAAGAAACCACAACCTATGGGAAAAGAGCAGACAAATTGACAAAATCCTATACACAGATAGACTCACACATAAAACCTCTACCGCCATCCGCCCCCCCAGTAACAACACTCTCATCACTACCTTACACCACCCGGACGACCCCAATCAACCACCAGCTAAGGAAGCAGCAGATCTTTGTGAATATGTTAGATTATTCTATGGACGTCTACTAACTTCCGAGAAGGATCCCAACAGCCCTGTTATCCCCCCCCACTTGGAAAATTTCATGTGGGGCTCGACGCAGCGCATACTCACTGACTTAGAATCCTCAACACTAGAATCGCCCATCACAATCACTGAACTCACCGCGGCAGTGGCCAGCATGGCCAAGGGTAAATGCCCAGACCCGGATGACTTGCCGATGGAGTTCTATCAACGTTTCTGGTTGATCATCGCCCCGAACCTACTTAGAGTCTTCAACAACATTCTCAATAGCCAACCTCTAGGTCCCCGGACTGCGGAAGGCATTATTACCCTACTATATAAAAAAGGGGACAAAGCGGATGTTAGGAATTATCATCCTATTTCCCTTCTTAACGTACACGGCAAGATCCTAGCTAAAACCCTCGCCCGATGCATTAACCCCCTTCTCAACAAGCTAGTTCACCCCGACCAATCCGACTTTATCCCGGGAAGACAGGTCCTAGACAACGTGATGACCATCTTTCAATCCATTGATTGGATCCGGAACCACAACCTCAACAAGGCCGTCATACTAATTGATTTTCAGAAGGCCTACGACAGAGTCAACTGGGATTTTGTCCAAGCCACTCTGAAAAGAGTGGGAGTGGGCAAAAACTTCAGAGGCTTTGTCAAGGCTCTATATGGTGCTTCATCCGGCAGAGTTCTGGTTAATGGTCACCCCTCCTCTCCCTTCAGAGTCACCCGATCGCTGCGTCAGGGATGTCCACTCGCCCCAACTCTCTTTGTCATCCAACTAGAAGTCCTGCTAAACAGGGTTAGATCCCACCCAGATTTCATTGGTCTACAAATTTCTCCGTCCTACTCAATCAAAGTCTTAGCCTTGGCAGACGACTTCTCAGCAATATCAGAGAACTCGGTGGCTTCCCTCTCAGCCTTAGAAGAATGTCTATCTACATATGAAATAGCCTCTGAGATGCGTGTAAGTTGGGAAAAGTCTATTGCACTCACCCCCCAAGGCCAACCATTGGCCCTGGACCTCGGGATCCCCGTGAAATCAGAAACTGATGTCGAGCGTTACTTAGGCATACAAGTTTCCTTTAGTGAACCAGCAGCATTCCAAGACTCTATTGTAGAGAACAAGATTAGAGACGCATGTTCTACCTGGTCCAAGACTCACTTCCTCTCGCTCTCCGGTCGCGCCATGGTCATCAACACTTTTATATCTTCCAGGATTTGGTATATCCTCTCCATCAGGGGGTCGCGGCTGGAGCTGCACTAATTCAAAGTGCCCGTTCGTCTTCCTCATTGAAGGGAAGTTGACGGCCATAACTGGGCTTACCTGGCTGGTGCGGAATTGGCCTAGGGACATCAGSCCCTGCTCTGCGTGGTGCTTCCTCCATAGCTGTCCTATTGGGGTTTTGACAGCTGCCATCGAAGCAGCTTCTCTATGCCTGCTTCGAAGTGGCAGATCTTCATCTTCATCCATTTGCTGCTCTTCTTCATCATCCTGGGAGCTGCGCTCCCCTGCTGAGTGGACACTTCATCTGCAGTGGGCTTCTTGAGTGGTGCAGAGGGGTGTTGGATTTAGGAGGGTGTGTGGCGATTGGCAGGCTTGATAGGTTGGGTGCCCGCAGGCACCATAGCTAGAGCTTGAGGAAGAGGGAGGAAGAAGAAGACTCCCAAAGTATTCGATGAAATCTTGTAAACAATTGGTCCATGGGTGTTGATAACGTGGTTGGGATTCTTGGAACAAGTATTCTGGATTGATTGGAGGAGGATGAGGGATTGCAGAATTGAAATTCGTTTTTCAATTCTCTGCGTATTTTGAGCTTCCGCTGTGCATATCTCCTGTCTGGTTTTGTGTGGATTTGCCTCCTTCGAGTCTACTCTGAAATTGCATGCGTGTATGGGAACGTGTGAATTCGTTGTGGATTGAAGTTCAATTGGGTATATAACA